GGGGGGGGGGTGCGTAAAGTGCGCTGCGCGCAGCCCGCACCGCTACAACCGCACTAGTTATTCGGTCCTTCGTAATCACGCGAGTCTGCAAATCACGTTAGGGTCCACTGCCCGAGGGTCGGGGTCGGGCGGGGTCGGAGGGTCGGGTGACCGCGACCAAAGGCAGACGGCGGGGTGTCGTTTTTACCCTCGCAGACGAAACTGTCGGGGATTAGCATGGCGCCCCCGACAAGTCGAGCAGGCGGGCGCGAGCGCGGCGTGCACCGCCGAAGAACCCGCGCCGGGACCAACGGCCATGTAAAGGTCGTATAATTATTCCTCGCAAAGATTGATTGCTTTAATTATTTCGTCCAGCAGGGGTGGGGAGGATGGCCAGGAGAATCCGGGCCCGCGTGGCCAGCGGAGGACCCTTTTAAGGCCTCTTTAGGGCCCGGCTCGAGGGTCCTTTGAGCCTCAATGTATTTATTCATCCCTCATACGCATATTACGCATAAACCCTACACAGCGCCCTACGTCACACTACCACCACCGCACACCACACGTCTACGACCACCACCCTCTGTCTTTCTCTCGCTCATGCATTTTAAACGTGTTTTCAGGTGCGGGCGCCCCACATTTTTTTTCCTGTGCTCGGAGTTGCCGGGCCAGTCGGCCCCCTTGTCGAGCAGTGGTGAAGGTGAGTAACCCTCTGCGCGGCCGTCCTCACAGGGCGGGGCTCATAACAACGTTAGCTGGCTGCTCACAAAAAAATTATGTGTGACATAAAGTCACACGGAAAGAGATGTCATTTTTTGTTTTGGAGGGTGGGTTTAAACTTAAAAAGACGCTGCGTCGTGCACATAAGGCCTTAATGTGAAAAAACACAAAATATTTATTATATTAAGCGTTAAATAATGTTAATTAGGTTAAATTTAACCTGCCAATGCTTCACAATGTTGTCACAGCTTAATTGTTATGAACTTGGAAGACCTTATAAACGACATGAAACGGACAACGGACATGTTTTCGAGCACAGAAGTGCAAGAGTATAGAATAAAAAAAAATACTTGCGAAACAGAACCATTTCAGAAAGTTCAATACGAGGAGGTACAATCTTAAGCCATGTGACCCTTGTGTGACACCGTTTATAACACTTGTAAGTACCAGTTCCAGTTGAAAACGCATTTTTAAAAAAAGGACATCGTATGTATGTGTATTCGGTTCGGCCCAACATTGCGTCTCATTATAGGCTCATCTTCAGCCCCGCCCAAGCACTTACCTCCTATCCCCGCTCCGCTGAGTCACTGTGCGATCAAGATCCCAGCTCCACGGCATCAGTAGCGCGGGAGAACCCCACCTCCCGCTACGCCAAAGCCCCGCGAATGAAGTCTTTCCGCCTGTCTGCACAAAGCGTGGCTCTAAAAAAACTGTAAAAAAAAGTCGATGACATTAGCAACAGTGATCATCATCATAGCAAATGTAAAAAACTAAGTTAAATCCGAAGCACGACGATGATACACGGTTTATGGTAAGAAAAGGTGCAGTCTAGGCCATTTATCGGAGACCAAAGCAGCCGCGAAAACAATGCATCCGACACGCGAAACGGTAGATAATTCTGTGCGGCAGCGCGAGGCAAAGAGCCCGAAGCCCGAAGCAGGGAGCGGCACACGGATCAAACAGGTGCGCAGCTCGCACGGGGCCCCGGGCCGGACCAGTGCTTCCCTCGGGAGCGACGTGCCAGCCAGACCGACACGGGGCTGAGCACCAACAAACTACAGGCATTGGAGAGGATAGCACTCACGACCTCGCCGGCCCGCCCCCGGCACACAGGGGGTCACTTGAGAAATTGTTTGGCGATCTCAACGTGGTTTCGATATTTTTTGGTGCATTCTCTGGGGCAGCACTGACAGGGAGGGGGGGAAATATTCGAAAAAGAAAAATCGAAGAGGGGTGGCGTGGTGTGGTGGTGCGCCTGGAGCGGGACTTGAATTCCGGCCAAGAGCGCAAAGATTAACGGGTCGGCGTCATTTCGCAGGGGGGGGGGGGGACTTCATAAATCAAAAAGGAGCTTTTCACTTCTTGTGTCGGTCCATGCCTTTTATCCTTTATAAACGCCACGTCCTATTTACTCCACACCGCACTCTTTTCAACTCTCATTTACATGGAGCGACATTCCACCCACAGTCAGTGTCCTCCGCAAAGAGAAAAGTTACAAAAGAAAACTGCGAGGCCAAGTTCTCATCGGTCGAGAGCGCAGTGTATACCGATTTTGGAAACTTTATCTGTACAATTTTGTTTCAGTCAGCCGATGCCAGCAGGTTTCTTTTTTTTTCTCTTTTAGATTCTGCTTCAAAAACCAGCATCCCTGGGAAAAGTTTCGCCTCCGAGCAACACAGTCAACAGGTGGCATTCATTTTCAAACGGCAGTGGAGGCCCCTCGTTCATCTGATTGGCGACTCTCGCTCATAATTCACAATCAACTTACTCCCTCTGGGCCGCATCGCATAAATAAATAATAGAAGTAGGATTTGAATGAGAAAGGGAGCTCCTGCTCCTGCGATTGAAACAAAGACGCCCGACTGGAGGGGACTCTCTATTTATATTTTCTTATATTCCGCCAGATGCGTCGCTCCCCGACTCGTGGAATAGTAGTCCACCGTTCTTGGATGTACGAATTCATGAAAATTTATGGAGGCGATAGCTAAAATATACATTAATTCTGCATGGCATTTCATGAACAGTAATTGAAACGGCGGCTAATCACTCTGCTCCTCGTTACGGTCGATAGAACATACGCGTGGATCTCGTTACTTCTATCTAATTAATTATTTCAACCTGCTTTTTCTCTATCACGGCAAATACAGCGTTTCAGCAGTAACACACGTCACGTCTCAGGGTAGATGGTTTTAGTTTCAGAACAGATGATCGTTTGAACACTAGCCATATACCCACCACACCCAAAAAAAAAAAAAATTAGGTGCTAGAGCTAACGCGTTGGCTACATGGTTTCGGTACTGTATCGAACGCTTGACTATCACAGCTAAGGCCAAGGTCCTGCAACGAATTATTAGGTACTGAAACTTCTTTTGCTGTCTGTCCACCAGGTAGCCAAGACTGTAGCTCCCATAGCTAACTTTCGAATGCACCAACCAATTAGGTTTTTTTTAAATCTAGGAGTTCCTTTTGGGGTACAAGAGTCGGATCAAGTCGGATGTACAGAATACAGGTCTAACGTCATGAACATAATGCCACACTGAAATCATTTGAGTGAGGTGTCGTGCTCGAAATGAGAAAGACAATTTTGCCTCGCTCAATCAGAGCGATGACGATAAGGCTCACCCTATTTGAGTCATATGCACCGAATTATCACTCTGGAGGATTGAGATTTCCCTGACCTCACTCAATTGCAGTGAGGAACCTCACTCTCATTGGCTGAGGACCGCAAATTATGACTCAAATTGATTGAGAGTCGGATATCTCGCTCTCAGGAGAGTAAGATTTTTGTGTCACTGATCTCACTCTCCTGAGAGTAAGATATCTGACGCTGGCATTTTCAACAGTGCAGACATAAGTTTACGAAATGTTATACAGAATACAGGGTGTCAGCGTGGCCCATCGGAGCCGTTGTTTTTTCGGTGCCGAATGCCGGAGTACGGACGGGTTGCATAGTCGCACGGAGCTGTACGGCACCTCGGTGAGCGACGACAGGCAAAGCCGCCACGCACGCCTTCATCCGGGACTGTATAACCAAAGAGAAAGAACGGCACTGATGGGCTAACCTATAAATGTTTCTGTGGCGCTCGTTGAATCGTGCTTTACGTGAGCTACCATTTACTTTAGACAGTGGTGCGATTCAGATTCCTCTCTTTGGGCTTAGTTTGGAAATAAGACAGCGAGGACCAAAACACTTCCCCTATGGAGTTCACTTCCCATGAAATATGTAAATGCTCTCTTAAAACCCCGCAAGCGCTATTACGCGCAAACTTTTCGACACGACCTCCCTTTACCCTTTTCCGCAGGATTAGATTTTCCGAGTTGCAGGGCGGAGGCGCGGGGACCGAGGAGCAGGGTGCTCCTGTCCCGGCAGGCTGCTGACCTGCCTCAACAGCCGCGCCGCGCCGGGCCAAGCCGGGCGCTGGCAGCCCGGGTGCTTTGCTTATGCCCCTAATTTATTCCCTCTGTATCATCAGAATCCCGTGGGGCCTTCCAAGGATAATGGATTTCTCTGTGGCCTCTTGATGGGCGTCGGTGGGGGAGGGGGGGACAGAGGGAGGCGTGGCAGAGGGTGGCGGAGCGTGGCGAAGGACGCCGTCGTCACGTTGCTTCAGTGGGAAAGGAAGCAGAAGTACCGGGAGAAGAAGAAATATAAAAATCTGTGGGAAACAGAAAAGTGTAAGCGCGGGGTCGCCACATCATATCTCCGGAACCACACCACACAACGAATTTCTACGACATAAATGTTTCTTTTTTTTTCTTCCACCCTCATCTCTATTTTTCCAGCCTTTTTGATGTGTCGTCCCGGGTGGTGCCGAGGGCGTCCCCACAGTGATGTGCGTCCGACCCGGCCTCGTTTCGACCTTATAGTTTACGCCTCTGACCCCAAAGCAAGACGTGGCGAGGGGAAGGGGAGAGACAGACAAAGAGACCAAGCGAGAGCGAGAGAGGGAGAGGTACAGACAGAGAAAGGGAGGGGGGAAGGGTAGAAAATTTTTCAACGCCTCGTCCGTCGTGACATCGTGGCTAGTCCCGGGGAATAGGGTACAACGACCATCACGAGGTAGGGGGGCGTCGAGCGTTTCAAAGAGGCACAGAGGAGAGAGGGGGAGACACTGAGAGACAGAGAGGGGGGAGAGAGAGGGAGGGAGACCTGGCATCCAGGCGCGGTTAAGTCTGTCTGACGGAGGGGGCGATTTGCTGTGGGTTGCCTACCTTCAGGGGTTTTGTACAACAAATTGCCTACCTACCCCAGGGGGTAAACTGGTCCGACAGGGGGGTCCCCCCTTCGCCCCCCCCCCCTACACCCGCGCCTGCTGGCATCATTCCGCGTCCCGATCACGATGGACCGCTAGCGCCTGCAAAGCTGGGGTAGGCAGACCCGCAGAGCAAGGCTGCTCGACGGCGCAGCCTACCTCACAGGCGCTCTGGAACCGGTCCGAGCTAGCCCCACAGGCCTGCATTGCATGGGCGATACGGAGGCAAGCGCCCAGCAATTATTTATTTACTTATTTTCTAGGCTATTCCGCACATCGTGCCGCTGGATAAGGAACGTGGAGGCACTTTATAACGAATCTAAATGTGCAATAATAAACGTCATCAGTGAATTATAGTAGGCTTCTTCGTCTCCTGATGTGACGAGCCTTATGTCTGCGCCAGCAGGTGCACACAGGCGAGAGGGGTAGGGAGCGCGTTTGCTGATTCCGCCACCTCCTCCTCCCCCGCTCGACGACAGAAAGGGGCGAGGCGAGCATATATATCCACCCGTCTTTCGCTCCCGCCCTATCCCCCCGGCCCCGGCTTAGAGAGGTGATCTGTCGCAGAGCCGCACCCAACCCGTATTGTCGCTGCCGTGTATGTGGTTGTGCTTGTGGTGCGCAGAGTGGACAACCGATAATGGTCTAAGCGTGTAGACAACCTCGCCCCCCCCCCCCCCGGCGTGTGTGCGTGGCACAGTATGGCACAGCGTGGCTGACCCACCGC